CTTATCTTATCTTATCTTATCTTATCATCTTATCTCTCACAAAAAAATGATTTAAATTTGAACATAAAATACAATACATTAGCCTATACAGCAGTTAAAATTAGCTCCACCTTGACCAAGTGCAACTATAAAATGCTACTTACCTATTAACCTGAAAGTTGTAATGATTAAGTAATAAACTATATAATAATATAACACTTACAGAAGCCGATTTACTTTTAATCGTTAAAGTACATTTTGCTGATAATACTTCTGTACTTTCACTTAAGCATGATGTTTAATGTGGGACTTTTACTTATAATTAAGTATTTTATATTTTGGTATTGCCACGTTTACTGAGGCAAAGAATCTAAAACTTCCTCTGTCCACAATAATGCTTAATGTGAGCAAAGCTGAGATCATTAAACAAAGATGTTTGTAATTTGTTTCAGATTTTACAGTTAAGAACCTGCACAAAGTCGTGTTTCATTAACAAACGCACAAAGAAGAACAAGACGGATCACAGACGCAGGCAGTCACTGTCAGACATCGAACCTCCTACATGCAAATGAAGTATCATCCGAGTTCATCTCAACCTCAGGGAGAGTTCAGTGTTTGAGATATATTGGATGTATTCAGGGTCACATAAACGAGACAGTCTTGTTTTGAATTGACTTTAGACACATCCCTCAGTTCTTTTTTCTCTCTGCTCTCTCTGTGGAAATGATGGCAGAGTGCCATACAGAAGGCTGTGTACAATGGCCCAGGTCCCATTAAATCTGCGAAAGTTCCTTCCTGAGGCAAACATTGCCAGAAATAGTAATCTTGGCTTGAGCTGGAGTCTTACAGAGGGGAGCAATAATTCTCGGTGTAATAATGGAAATCATTTAATTCTGTCCAGCGGCCTCAGATCCAGCAGGGCTGCAGTTTGAGGTGCTCATTCAGTTTTCCTCCGCCTGATAAGGCTTCCTGAAAAACACACAGCGAGCAATCAGGCGACAACAATGGGCTCCGTCAGACGCTTTAAACCTCAGGTAGTCAACAGCGCACAGCAGCACGGCTTTGTTTTCATCTACAATGACTCATAAATGCTTTGACATTTTGTTTTCATGTTGTTTGTTCGAGCTCTGATTAGCAGAGTGTATGAACTGGCAATCTGTAAGGTTAGCTGCTGCCTCCTCTGACATAATTAAGCAACTCATCAGTCATGAGGGTTTTATCTGACTATGGAATTTTTAGATAATTAGTCTTTTTTTATCTGGAAGTGCAATGTTACTCATTAACTGAAAATGATGAACACATTTCATGCATGGCAGAAATGTTCCCAAACATGTTTTTGCCTTGTGTATGTTTTTTCAGAGACTATAGCAATGGTGGAAGAAGTTCTCTGCTCCTTTTATTCAAGTAAAAGTACAATGCAGCGATGTCCAAATACTCTGCTGTGAGTGAAAGGAATTAAATCTTGCATTTGAAATCAGATTCAAAAAGTATTAAGAGGTAAATGTACTTGAGATGTACTTCTGCAGAGGAGTGTCCCCGGGTTCCCAACCTGGGGCTTGGGTCCCTCCAATGCTGGGTCACAGGATGAATCTGAAGGATCATGATGTCATTAATGGTAAAAGGAAAATAAAAAAACAAAAGTTCTGCTACACTTTTTTTTTTTGCAATTCTTTTGCAATTTGTAGCATTTTATTGGGTTGATTTTAAATCCTTGGCCCTAAAACAGTGATATAAATGAAACCTGTTGGAAGTTTAGAGGGGAAATGTCTCTTTGGTGGAGCTGCTACATGACAACAGGCCCCAGTGAGAGAACTCACAAGACAAAAAGACTGTCACTGCTTTAATCTTTAACGATGCATCCTACTTTAAAACTTTATCATATGTTTTTTTTATATATATTATTTTTCAACCTGAAAAGTAACTGGTAAAAAAAAAGCACCATATTCCCATTAAGATAAAATGGAGTAGATGTAAAAAAAAAATTTTTTTAAAAATAGCATAAAATAGTAATACTCAAAAGTACAAGTTCTTCAGTATCGTAATTAAATACAACACACAAATAAATGTGCTTTCACTGCTGTAATGTTGTGCATGAAAGTGCCTTTTCTGTGTAGGGACAATAATACTGGAAACACCCATTCATGAAATCTTACAACAGCCTGTTTGACAAGGATGATGTTCTGTTTCCAGACAGAAAATGCTTTTTCAGGATTGATAGCGACCGACTCTTTCTGTTTCTGAAGACAGGCTCAAGCCTCAAGCACGTTCAACCGCTTAACTAGAGACAGGAATCGCTGGCACTGGCAGTAATCCCACCTGCCATCATTTATACAGCTCCGCGGAGGACTGGTTTGGAAAAGGGAAATAAAGGTGAATAATAGAATCCAGCAGGGCTCTGGCTGCAAAAGTAATATTTCATTTCTTTTACAGGTGATTACTGGATCAAATGTGTGCCTTTTAGAAATATTCAATTTTCAGACCTCAGCCTTTAAAACAGTTGCAATAATATAAGGCCAGAAGAAAGTTTCAGATTTATTCCTATGTGTGTTAAACAGCTATACGTGTGATGCAGGTTTCAGTGCAGTGAAAGGTTTATGCTCTGGCTCTCTCCTTTTAAGAGCATGCATTAAAAAAAAAAAGTGCTGGGTGCATTATAAACATTTTACGTATTAAAAGATGAAAATAACAAGAATAAAACATTAACTGCATGAAAAAGTCACTGCACAGTGAAAAGTATCCGTGGTCACTGCTATAAATTCTGATGTTGTCATGTGCAGAGTTACTTTCTGCATCGTCCTGCAGAGAGATTATCTGTCCGAGCTGTGGAGGCTTTCTCTCTCTCTGAACATTCTGTGTGAGAAAGTTTCAGCCGCTCTTGCATTTCTATTAATACTGAAGGAGATTATAAATCAGAGATATAAGCAGAGAACCTGCAGCCTTTAGAGCAGGAAACAATAAACAGTTTTCTTCATTATTGTCAGTCCATGTGATAACACATGGGGTTGGCTCATCAGGGCGACAAGAAGCAGTTTGTAAATCGTCTCGTTGTATTTATTTAAATACTGTGCATGTGTTTGGACACTCAGAGTCAGTCATGTGAAGAGGCTAGTGCACGGTTAATGTGCCTTTGCTCCAGCACAAACATAATATGATACCTTCAGGGACTTTATCCCATCAGGTACACACTAAATGAGAAGGTGTTTCAAAGGATACTGCAACACTCGTGCTCTGAAAACTGTGTTTTAGTAATAAAGCTTTGCTTCAGTGCTTCAAATAATGCTAGAAATTGTTTATTTTTTCCTATATATGGGTAAAACTAGATTTTCATGATTTGTTATTATTATTTGATTGAACTTATTGATTAAAACAAAAACAGTAAAGCCATAAATGTATTTTTCAAAACAAAAATAAGAAATAATTTTTCATGAGATTTATAATTTATCCTGGTCCCCCAGTCCCTGACACAGTCCTGTGTGTAAAGGCTGATCTGAGGCCTGTTTGTCTTTTTCTTTTTTTTTTTGAAATGCTTCCCACTGAAAAGCTCATCAGCACCTGAAATAACCAGAGGCGTGCTGCGTCTGCTACATCCTCTTCCCTGGATTGTTTTGACTGCATGATGGAGGGCAAACGTTAAAAAATCATTTCTAATTTTAACCCGGAAAAGTGTCACTCGAAAACAGCATGATAGGAGGCAGTCAGGGTCATCGGCCCTTCCGCCCGCATGAATCAGGACTAAATGAATGCGGTCTTCAGAAGCCATTGTTTCAACACATGCAAAGAGCAAACATGCGATCGGAGAGTTTGGGGGAAAGGAGGGGTGAGGAGACGGGGGGGTCACACAGTATCAAGGCACGACAGGGGGAGAAGGGGAGAAAGCGAGAGAGAGTTCATTTTAATTGACAGGTAGAAAAAAATATATATATTTAAACAAGATTTTTAAAGCTGCTGCTCTTATTGCAGATATTATAAAATAGGCTGCTTGGGGGTTCAATCAAGTCAAATCAGCGTGTTAAAAACATTAAAGCTGCATTTTACTATTTAAATCCTCGATTCTAAAATCTTATTGGCCGGGACCCAACGTGTGAATCTTGAGGGGCCTTGCGGATGAAGTATCGCCTCTGAAGTTAATTGTGTTTTCGTTTTAGAGGGGAATAGATTTCCTCTGTTTATTATGAGCATGGGGACGGATTTGCGTCACCGTGCAACTTGCAGGTCGAGATAAAGTTGCACAAATATTGAAAAAGGGAAGTTCTAACAGTCATTATAAAGCACCCCCCCACACACACACACACACACATACATACATACACACACACACACACACACACACACACACACACACCCCCCACCCCTCTTTCTCTGCTCCGGAAGAAATAAGGATTTCTGCTGTATCCTAAAATACTAAAACATGTTCTATTTTGGGAGCAAATCTAGCAGGAATATCCGCTCATTTAACACGAATCACAGCCCATCAAAAACAGGATGAGAAGCAGCTAATAGACGCTCTCCTGTGCTCGGGGTTATTGCTTATTATTGCACGATTTTTTTAACGGTTATTTATTAAATACGTATTATTCTAATCGTTTTATTTTACACAAGGGTATGACCTAGTTATTGAGATTATTTTTTTTAGGTATTTTGTGTTGCAAACTGACAGATCAGACACTGTTTTAAAATGTAAACCCTGTAAGAGAAAATCATTTGTTTTCAGAAAGAAAAATATGAATTAAAATAAGAGCTCATGCGCATTACGACCGTTCTTGTTTGCGGTGATATGGCTGTAAAGAGGAGGAGGGGGGGGGGTGTTCTCTTTAAGTGATCAATCCATCATCTCAGGATCAAAATTGCTCCGAAGTGTCCCCCGGTCATGTGTGTGCGTGCGTGCGTGTGTGTGGGTTACACATCATCCTAAATTGCAAGGGTGTGATGTGAGCAAATGCAAGGCAGCCATTGGCTCAGAGAGCGACCAATCAGTGTCAGCGGAGGAACTTCAGAGTGGAGCAGCAGGGTTAGGATTTCAGAGTTGGGAGAGCGATTTTGGCACTTACACAAAGAGGACGGTCAACTATCCAACTAAAACGCCATCCCTGCTTTTTTACATGCCTGTCCTGTAATACCTTCTCCTGACAAACAATAAGACGCGTTCGAGACTGCGGGATGTACACGGCCGGGCTCAACCCGTTTTACGCATCGAACTTTAGCCTGTGGTCTGCGTACTGCGCAGGGGGCTTCGCTGTGGACACGATGAAGAAACCCTCGTTTTGCATCGCAGACATTTTGCAGGCTGGAGATGCGGAGAACATCCCGGGATCGTCGGCGCTCGTGGTGCATATGGGACACCACCACCGCGCGCAGCAGGGCCACTCCGGCAGCTCTCCGCTGCGCCCTTCCCCTGTCGCGCCGGAGCCGTCGGTTTACGGTCCGAGGATGAGTCCGGCGTCTCCGTACCACAGACACGGACTACAGCTAACCTCAGTCTCCAGAACTGCATTTAACTCCCAACAAGCTCCCCCGCCTTCAAGCAAAGACCTCAAATTTGGAATTGACCGGATATTGTCGACAGACTTTGACCCAAAAGGCAAAGAAAAGTCGTCGTTAAGAGGTGAGCAGAGAGATTTTCATTACACTCATATTTTCCAAAAGGGTATGTGGTGTTTGTAGAGAAGTTTCCTGTCATGTCAGCCACAGAAAACAATAAATAGGGATGTGTTTTTTAAATGTTATTAAGTAGCCCACCACGAGACAAGACAAACCCATGTCCAAAGTTTAGAAACTGAAAGCAACAAACCAGAAGCAGCTATTAATGTTGCACATGTGCAAAGTCAGTTACCTGCTCCAGTTTATAACACTGGCAGTCTTGTTCACACAGTAGTTAGAGCGCAAATAGCCTCATAAGCTGCACTTTAAAGAGCCCTGTGGGGAAATCCTCTCCTCTCTTGCCCCCTCCACAGAGAGGTCAAAGGTCAGGATCAGCCACAAACAGCAGCAATGCAGCTGAAGTTTGTTCAAAAGCATCCCAGCAAAGAAAACCCAAGGCTATTAATTCAAAAAATATGGTCCCCCCCCCACCCTCTCTCTCTAAACTTGAGACCATCTTGCCCCAGTAAAGAGCAGCGTCAGTGCTAGTCTGCCTGTGTGTCACTGCGATAACTCTCTCCTGACTGAAGCCCATCATCTCTCGCTCTGTAACAGATCTCACGTCCATCGTTAGCTCGAACCGTCAGTCAGGGATCCACATCCCCGTTCAGCCTCCGGCCAGCCAGTACTTCTCCTCCATAGACCCCGGGATGAGCGACGCGTCCTCCATGATGAGTTCACTAGGCAGCAGCAGCAGCAGACAATCAGGCCAGCATCAGTTTCAGGACACCTTCCCAGGTAGTCACCACTTGGAGGAGTGTAACAGACAGGAAACCGACCTATCCTGCTCTCTGTTGGAGGTGTGAGACGCCTCCAGTGAGTGCGATCCTCTGGACTCTTTCGTTTTTAACCTCATGTCCTCCCCATCATGTCTTTTAGGTCCATATGCTGTCCTCACAAAAGACACAATGCCACAGACGTACAAGCGGAAAAGGTCGTGGTCGAGGGCAGTGTTCTCAAACCTGCAGAGGAAAGGACTCGAGAAGAGATTTGAAATACAGAAGTATGTCACCAAGCCAGACAGAAAGCAGCTGGCTGCCATGCTCGGGCTGACAGACGCTCAGGTAAGAAGCAGTGCTGTGGATTCAGACTTTCAGAGGCCAATGTCTTCCCTGGTGATCACAGGTCACAAGATGAATCAAGGATTTATGACGTCTTAATATATTTTTGGCATAAACCACATCTACAATAAATGTTTTAAGAGTTTATTCCTGAAGACAGACCTGCGAAATAAATAAACAAAATAGTGTTTCTTTAATTTCTTTACAATATGGATGCTCATCGTATTTTGCTTCACTCTTCACCCCATTTAAATAACTCTTAAATAATTTTAACCTTTTGTCTATATATGGTTTTGATGCAGTTTTATTGTTGGATGTAATGTTGATTTAACTATATTATTTAGGCTGTTGTACATGATGTAAGTGTAAATATTTGTTGGGTATCTGTATTTTCTTTGAATATGGACACCAGGAAGAGCAGTTGTTCCCAAGGCAACAGCTAATGAGGACCCAAATGAACAATAAAACAATAAAAGCACAGGGCCGTAGCCAGGGTTTTAGAAATACTGAGGTTATGAGCCCCCCTAATCCATGTCTTTGACATTAAAAAAGGTCATTTATTTCTTGATATTTAGATTTTTTCGTATTTAATATTATTTGTATTTTTATAAATTTTCTGTGATTTTTATGTGGGATGCCAAGCCCACGCTGCCTATAAACATATTGGGAACAGCCAATAAAAAAACCCACCATGTGTAAGTTTTTAACTTTAAAATGTAAAGTTAGACCCAGGCTGCTTAAAACTGAGCGGGTCAGATCTCAGCATCCATCCAGCTACACCCCTGACAGGTGACATGACGTGACAGCCGTGGATGTGAAATGAAACTTGTGCCTCTTTCGATCTGTAATAACAATTTCCTTAACACAAGCAACTTTTGGATTTTTTGCAGTTTGCATCCTCATCCCACACATAGATTCAATCGGGACACAAGCTTTAAATCTAAAATGAATAAGTGAGAATGAATTTTAAAAAAAGGCCTGAGAGCCATTGAAGTCAAAGGCAGCATCCTAACTGATGTGACCTGATTGGTTGAGAGGCCAGTGTCGACTCTTACTGTATCACCTTGTTTACATTTCGTCATATTGTACATTGCCACTTCATTTTACCAAGAAACATGTCAACTATGACGTCATAACTGAAAACTGAAACAGATTCTGCTATTTAATTATGATTTTACATGATATTAATATGTTTAAATATATTTGTCTGTTAGTGTTTTTACACTATATCTGTGCTCTTTATGCTGCTGTCTTGGTCAGGCCTTCCTTTCATAAGAGGTTTCACATCTCATTAGGGTTTTTAATTGGTTAAATAAAGGTTGAATAAAAATATTCATGGCCAGTGTTAAGCTTTTGGTCAGCCCTGAAGTGTGTGCAAAGTGTGTTACTTAATAATTAGGTCTAAATGCATAAACTATAGTCTACAGCTGCAGTCTTTTAGCGTATGCCACTGAACTGCTGCTCCTACATGCACAAAACAAGTCTAATCTGATAGTGTGTGTGTGTGTGTGTGATGTGTGTTTACAGGTGAAAGTGTGGTTTCAGAACAGGCGCATGAAGTGGAGACACTCCAAAGAGGCCCAGGCTCAGAAGGACAAGGAGAAGGACGAGAAGCCGGAAAAGAGCGTGTCTGAGTCCGGCAGCAGGGAGCCCAAAGAGCCGACGGAGTCTGAGTGTGAGAGCGAGGGCAGGAGCGAGTGTGAATCCGACGAGGCCCCGGAGGAGGAAAACTCTGACGGACACTTGGACATTTCTGAGCAGCATAAACCCAGCGTGATCATGAGCGGCAGCGCGCCGGCGAGCAGCGCGCCGGCAGCGGCCACAGTCACAGACACAGCGGCCTCTCAGGTGCTAATATGAAGGCAGCGTGTTGGTTTAGGTTATGAACTATGAGAACGAATCTTTTAATTATTTTTTGACAGAAGAACGACAGTGATATTAAAAACCCATCTGGAGTGGCTGAGTCAGTTCACTAAACTATAAGGTATTCAGAGGATTGTTGCGACCAGAACCAGGCCTGTACCGGTGTAATCCCTGGGAGCAAGTGGAGCAACAAGGAAGTAGCCTATTATTGTTCGATATGACACATTATTTTATCCCAGACACACGGAACATTATAGTCCAAACTAATTTGTGAATTTCATTAGTATTTGTCTCCTTTGTTTCCTTCTCTCTGTCAGGCTATAATGATAAAACCCACAGGCTTCCGGCCACCTCCAGTGTCTCTTTATTGTCGTTTTCCTCTCAGGAGCTTCTGTGTGCATCATGTTTTTCTCATCTGGAGGAAATATGCGGTTGTGAATTTTATTTTTAGGTTATGAACCACTCGTTTCACGTTATAAATGGAATCTCAGAACATCACGCAGTGTTCATGTATTTTTTTTGTCTGAATATATAGTTGTGCTATTTTGTTAATAATAATTTGCACTGAAAATATTGTAAATAAAATGTTTCTTATACTTTGAAAATCGTATTATTATTATTATTATTATTATTATTATTATCATTATTATTATCGTTATCATTACCATTATCATTATTATCATTATCATTATCATTATTATCATTATTATTATTATTATTACCGTGTTTAAATTTGCAAGTTGCTTGCTCATGACGATTCAATCAGTCTTTTGGCGAGGATGCTGACCTTAATTTAGGTATTAAAAATATATACGTGTGGTTATTAAATTATGTTGTTTTTATTTGTTTTTGTACTAGCCTATTTAAATTAGAAAAAAATAATCGGCAACAATTAATGAATAGGAATTCAAGTTGCACATGCACATAAATATGCAACAAAAGAAATAAGAATAAAAAAAAATTGAGTGCAAACCGGAAACTGACAGTAGCCTCTGTCCACAAAAGTGAATTAAAGTTCAACACAGGTAATTTGCACATACGCGCATTTTAATGCGGAGACTCATAAAGCCCATGATTTTATCTGGTTCCCGGCGAACTGATTTTTTACTTCTGTTTAATACCAAATGAAACATATTATTGTTTTGATTACTAATGATTGCTAATAATTACTTAAAACTGAATTAAATTAGAAAATCATAATTTCATTTTAAAGCTTGGGTTAACGGACAAGCTTTCTAAATCCTACCTCCATGATTAATGTACACATCTTCAGGCCCTCTCCTATAAGCACATCCATTTCTGCCGAGGACGCTGCGGCTCTGGCTCAGAAAGCGAGAGCAGAACAAGAGGGTAGTTTATAGTTTGTATACATTTACTGGCTCCAGATAGCAGCGACGACCCGGATGAGTATATTTTATGTATCCAGACACAGATACAATCAACATCTCCTCCGTTTATAGTGCTGCTCATAACCTCCCTCTGCACTCACTTTCCAAGCTCTGATACTCCACATCAGCTCTCCTTTTTTTATATCATGACTCACGAGGAAATCATGATAGACTGATAGACTGAAGTAAGAGGATACTGCAGTGTTGAAATGTAATTTCCCAATCAGCCTTATCATGATGGTCAGCGGTGACTGCTCAAAGATTATTAGATAGGAGGAGTCCCCTCTGCTGCAGCAGTACACATCATCCAAACTCACATGTGCAGCACAATTAAAGTGCTTATGGATGTTTAATGACATGATGTCATGACACACTCCCTCCCTTTACATGTCTATTAAGTCTATCTGTGTCTGTAGGAGTAATTATATTTTATAAGACCTCCATAAATCTGGAACAACCCTTCCTGGCTTCTCCTCAAGGCCACATTTTCATTGTCAGTGCTGGAGTTTTTAACTTTCAGTGTCTTAGCACAGATCAATATTCATTCCTATGTAGTCCTCATAACTGTCAGAGTTATGTTGCCCAATCTTAAGTATTTTTGTTGCAAAAAAAAAAATGGATGACTTCTCCAGAAAATTCCAACTGAATAAGTGTTTTCCAAACTCAGCTGCAGTGCAGTGACAACCAATATTGTGTAAGATTAGTTTGATAGTTAATCTGTTTATATATTTAAGAGTTCCAATGTATTGTAGAGAATATTATGAATACTGTTTGAATTAATCTGTCACTCTAAGCTTTTATACATCATGCCTCCCTCGACCGTCGAGAGGTTTACTGAATAAGGCTGATCATTGCAACTTTCAACTCAAGTCAGTAAGTAAAGATACTCCTGGTCCTGCATTTAAAATTTTACTTTATGCAAAAAAGTACTGTTAATAAAAGTACTTAAAGTATCATATGTAAAAGTTCTCATTATGCAGAACTGGTTCTGTCAGCAGGGCCGTAGCCAGGATTTTAGAAATACAGAGGCCGTGAGTCCCCGAACGTACCCCCTAATAAATGTTTAACCAGATACCACAAAGGGTTGCATTATTTTGAAAAGACAGAAAGTAGGCCTCTACTTATATTCAAATGTATGCTAATTTTTTATTCAATTCAATTAAATGTTCGGGCCTGAATGCGAGGATGTCTGCACATTGCTCTGGTGAATCTTTTTTCTGTTTTTAATAATGTAAATGTATGAAAATACCAACCAAGTGTAAGATTTTAATTGTATAATAAACTCTCTACCCCTCTCTACATGACATATTATTTTATCTATACTGAATGTATATTATTACAGCATATTATTAAACTACCCAGCAGTGTGTTGGCTAATGTAATAAGTCCCACCTTCACTAGCTGCAACATTAAAATGATCACTAATTATAATTATTTTGAAATGCGCCACTCGAGCACTTTTTCTTTTTTTCTTTGAGTATAATTTTATATTAATACTTCAGTATTTTTACTTCAGTAAGATTTTGAATGTAGGGCTTTTACTGGTTACACAGTGTTTGTACAGTGTGGTATTGCTATTTTTTCTGAAGTAACAGATTTGAGTTCTTCTTCCACGACTGGTGTAAGAAGTTTAAGATCAGCATAAAATAAAGAACCTTTTCAGAGCTTCACAGAGGGAAGGAGTATGATCATTTATTTTAATAAGTGTTCATGCTCATACTATTAATACTATTAATCATACTTTTAATTCATTAAGTAGGAATAATACACTATAAAAAATACTCTATACCACATAAATACATACAGCTGTAATGGCAACAAAAAGTAAAAGTAGTCATGCAGAACTGGCTCTGTCAGTGTGATATCATTATTTAATTTGGTCATTATTATTGATGTATTAACATCTATAAGATGACTGTTATGGCTGGTCAAAGTGGAGCAAACTTTGACTTTGACTGCACTGTAACAGTGCATTATATACTGAAGCACTGATGATGTGTTTTATATGAACCCCTGAACCTGGAGAGTAGCTAACGTAAGTAAAGAACATTTCACCTTGAAATGCAGTGGAGCACAGGTCCAAAGTAATAGCCAAGTACGTCCAAATAGTGCTTAATTATAGTGCTTGAGTAAACGTACTTTGTTGCTTTCCACCACTTGGCCATTTCTGAATAGTCTTCAGCTATGAAATGATGCCATTTCTTATAGTAACGCCTCTGCTAAACAGTTTGTAAGCGGAAAAAATGTGCTATAACGTGGTGTTCAAGTCCTGGCCTTCAGATAGCATTATATCCAGTCAGGAAACTCAAAGCCCTCTGGTATTTGTTGTCATGTTAGCAGCAACATCATAGTGAGTGACCCAAAAACCCGGACCACCACAAACTCTCTCTACTACGGGGTCCACTTTCCTCTCCTCCGGAAAGAGGACTGACCCCCAGAGAGCTGCAGTTTTTCCGTTTTAGCTTAGCATCTTGAATTTCACTTTTCATTTTCCCCTCTGCTGCCTGGCTATACAGTATACCTGCTGCCTTTTGTTTCTTTTCCATACCGGAGATATTTTACCCCAAAAAAACCACAACAGCTTCTCATAAACGAACTTGGCTTGCGACGGTTATGAAGTAGGTGGCACTCATCTCAATCTTCACTCTTAATTCATGTTGGATGAAAAGTTGTCAGAGTTATAATAGCCAGTTTCCATGGAAGGCTGTAAAAGCCCCGGGCACTTTATCAACCTTATATTAACTGTTAAACGCTCACATATTAAATGTCTGGGTGGGTTAAGTCTCAAATTATGCTCGAAAAGCTATAAATTACATTAGTATTTGCAAATGTACAATAACAATAACAATCCAAACGCTTAACATAATACTGAGAGGCCTTGATTTGTGAACTGTCCTAAGAACTTTTATGAGCAGGATAGGAGAAAGTCCACCTGGCCTGTATTTAATGTCAGCCTTTCCGCCTCCATTAAAAGCTGTCCTATATGTCCCTCTTGGCAACCCAGGACAGGGCAACCCATAAAACAAGCCTCGCAGATTTCACCAATATTTAACGCTTTGAAAAAGTAACTGTGTAAAACAAATTACCTCTGTGAGAGCAGAGGTGGGGGTTTCTGTCTGCAGTGGTTGAGGGATTAACGTGACTAAAAGCTGTGACGTCTCCAGCGCTTTGAGGCATTATCTGTGAAGTTGTTTGATAGGCTGATGGAGATCTCTCCTCCGTTGCCGTAATGTATCAGAGGAGGCCTTATAGAGCCCATATAGATGGTGGGGGTGGTTTTGAAAAAAAAAATAAAAAAATGCTACACCATAACTCAACAAGTGCTTGAGGAACTGCAGCCGACAAACACAGCATGCCAAAAGATAGAGGTTCAGTTTAGGAACTCTGCTTCTTCCTCTTTTGGCAGATTAAGATGATAATGTCACTATTTGTCATCATGATGATGATCATCATGATGGTGGAGATGATATGAACATCTCAAGAATGGTGGAGAAACACTCCAGTACAGGTGCTCATGCATTTAAAATCTTACTTAAGTAAAAGTACATTAGCGTTAATAGTAAAGTACTTTAGATATGAAAAGTGCTCATTATTCATCATGACAACCTCTTTTAAATATATTATTGTAGATCAAATCATTGTAGATTGGGTAGATTAAACTATAACTATACACTATATTTTATGAGAGCATCATATGTTTTTTTCTTAATCTGCAAAGTAGCTCGTAATGTAGTGGAGTAAAAAGTAAAAATATTTTGCTGTGAAATGTAGTGGAGTAATAGAGTGGAGTAGTATGAATAGGAAATACTTCAGTAAAGTACCTCAATAGTTGGACTTAAGTACCCTGCTTAAGTAAATATGCAATTACTTTCCACCACTGCCAATAAATACTCGATTACAAGTACAAGTCCTGCATTAACAAGTCCTAGTGTTACCACTAAAACATATTTTAAGGGTAAAAGTTGACGGTGCGCAGACAGAATGTCTCCAGAAATGTCATATTTTTACATTTACATATATATCATTGGGGTATTGTTATTAATGTAAAGATAATAAAGATTGAAGCAGTATTTTAATGTTTAGGACGATAAGCTAATTTTACCGACACCCTAAAAGTTACTTGGTTAAAACTTTTCCCAGTGTGGGTTAGTACATCACGGACACAGTA